TTTGTGGAAAAACGCTTGAGGTCCCGGCGCTTTGAGAATACGAGTGTTGATTTTTGCCCACAAAAGTATATTTACACGGTGTTATCAGGTATGTTTTGAATTTTAATAATTTTAAAGCAAGAAAAAAATTTAAATAGAAAATGTTGAGGGATATTCGTCACTGGTTTGTGGGTGTGGAACGGCCCGTTCTGCTTTTGGAACGGGCCGTTCTGGATAAGTAAATGAGTGTTATTTTGGATGTGGAACAGGCTGTTGTGAAATCAGAACGGCCCGTTCTACTTTCAGAACGGCCCGTTCTACTTTCAGAACGGGCCGTTGTGGGGTCGTTCTCGTTGTTTCATTTAGTGAAGTATGGAAGGGTTCAGAACGGCCCGTTCTTCTTTCGGAACGGCCTGTTCCGAAACCCAAATTTATACACTTTTTGTGCAATGAAAACGGCCCGTTCTTAAATTAGGTATTTAGGTATTTCTAAAATTTAGAAATAAATTGTTGTTTGAGTTTATTTAATTTGTTTGTTTGTTGAATTATATCAGGATGTCTAGACAAATTATTCATGTAGGACCTATGGATGGTGAAATATTTTCAATGGCATTCATATATTTATAGACCCATGAACAGTGCATTTGTCTACAAAATACATGATCTACACCGTTGATTATGTGGGTGCGATCAGGGCCGTTCGTTTCCCCTGCTACAAGGAGACAACACATTTGACCGGTGAACAGTGACGTATTTAAATTCGAGATGATCTACACCGTTGATTCTGTCGGTGCGATCAGGGCCGTTCGTTTCCCCTGCTACTAGGAGACAACACATCTGACCCATGAACAGTGACGGATTTAAATTCGAGATGATCTACACCGTTGATTCTGTCGGTGCGATCAGGGCCGTTCGTTTCTCCTGCTACGAGGAGACAACACATCTGACCCATCAACAGTGACGAATTTAAAATCAAGATGATCTACACCGTTTAATCTGTCGGTGCGATCAAGGCCGTCCGTTTCCCCTGCTACTAGGAGACAACACATCTGACCCATGAACAGTGACAGATTTAATTTCGAGATGATCTACACCGTTGATTCTGTCGGTGCGATCAGGGCCGTCTGTTTCCCCTGCTACTAGGAGACAACACATCTCACCCATGAATAGTTACAGATTTAAAAATACATGATCTAGACCGTTGATTCTGTCGGTGCGATCAGGGCCGTTCGTTTCCCCTGCTACTAGGAGACAACACATTTGACCCATGAACAGTGACGAATTTAATTTCGAGATGATCTACACCGTTAATTTTTATCAGAATACCTTATTTAATATTATAAATGCGTTGCATTGCATTTTTAATAAATATGATTTATTAACTAATTCATTATTATTTTCAATATAATAAATAGATAAATCGAAATTTATAAACATTATTTTTTTTAGTGAAACCGACTACTCCCTCGATCAAAACCTTTTTAAATAAAAATAAAATAAAATTAGGGGAAACATAGTACATAATTGATGTCATCGCTGTTAAAACTTGAACTTATAGACCAAAGCTATGCCGCAAAATTGTACGCCGGTTATTACTATTTTTAGTCAATTTTTTGAGTTAGTTTAAATTACTCAAGGATTTTATTTTTTATTTGCATGATGGTTCATTTTTCTCTCTCTTACATATCTACATTTAAAATTATCATTTATATATTTTTTCAGTTGTATGATAAAATATTTTGACTTAATTTTTACGCTTTTTATATTTGAAGTTAGTGAATAAATGTATCTTTTTGATTTTTTTTTAAAGAATCTGATCAAGTATCCTATTTGTAAGATTGTTCAAAATTTATATAACTCGAGATCTATATATGTCACAAAATCTAAGTTATTAATAATCATGATTGACACTAAAATATGGTACTCAATAACGAATAAATTCATATAAAATTTTAATAATTTCGAACTCATAAAAACACAACAATTAAATATAAAATTCTCATTTTAGGAGGAAGACACACATGTTATACTCTTTGAATATTTTAGGTTTTGAAATACAACTAGCATTTTCTAAAAGTAGTCCTTCATCTCAAAATATTTTGGAGCTTAGTACACAAAGTGTCTTTTACGTCGTGTATTTTGACCCTTTTACGTCGGAAAAAGGTCCGACGTTAATACGAGAGTCGTAAATTTACGTCGCCTCTGAAAGATGACGTAAATTTACGTCGGGGATTTTTCCAGACCGACGTAAAAAGGGACAAAATCATGCCACAATTTTACGTCGGACGTGGCCTTGTCCGACGTAAATTGTGGCAGTTTTTTTTTTTTAAAACGTTTGTAAATTGATATACCCAACACCTGCATATAAATATAATCCAGAATACCAAATCTAAACCAGGCAGTCCAGAATAGAAATTCAAATTGTATTTCAAAATTGAATGACAAAAAGAAAATAATATATAAATCTTAAAAAACATAAATTATGACAATGTAAATCCTATTATCCTAAAAAAGCTATAAAACATGTTTGTCAATGCTATCTAACTAACTAAACTAACTAACTATCAAACTATTAACATAATATCTAACTAACTAAACTTAGAAAAAAAGTTGCCCATTGTTCTCTTATCTTGAGCATCTCATCTTCGGGCAATGGAGATGGATCTTGAAAGACCTGAAAGGGTAATTTAAGTGTCATTAATATGCAATGTTAATTATTCTAAAGGTAAATATAGTTAAATAA